TTGAGTACAGTTGTTATGATACACTTAACATGGAAGTCTAAAGGGACTGACTCTTGGAGCCGCTCAAGAAGCTATTCGGCACGTCTCTACAGGCGTAATCTTTCAACCCCAAAGTTGCTGCTGGTTGTAAAATCTCTTGGATTTTACCATCACAAAAATCGAGGCTTTGTTTGTTTTTGGATTCACGTTTCAGCTGTCGCTCACATCACACAGCAGTCAAAGCCAAATCGGGAAATAAAATCTGCTTTGTTTTGGTGTTTTGATGACGATGATGCTGATTTCACATCTGAGAGCGTTGAGCTGTCTACTGAGCACATTCAGAAACACTCCTCTGTATTTTGCCTCTAGGCAACCTTTCACAGCAATTACTCTATTAAACTAGCAAAATACGATCCTGCTGCTGCTGAGCACTGCCTGACAGACACCCTGACTGCATTTGAGCTGACACTTATACTGGTGTACTTGATAGGAAAATGTCATGCGGACCTCAGAAAGCCTGGCCATACTGTCTTTTGATGCATGCGTGAAGCTGACTGGTTTGTGGACCAAACGCTTGCTGACAGATGAGAGCCCAAACTACGTTGAGTTGGATAAGATCTGACACTCACTGGAATAATGAGATCATGTCTTCAGAGTAAGAGATGGTTACCTCAGTTATTATTGATTCATGTTTTCCTGTGTACTACCTCTGTGTTATCCAGGAACTTGGCTTCCATTAACATTATCATAGACATGCATATGCTTCACTATTAAACTTTGTTTAACCTCATCAGACAAAGTTGCTCCAATCCCAATCTGTCAAACTCTCTACTTTCCCTTCACACCACCACTGACTGCACCGTGTTGCCTTAGTTTATTCAGTATTGCCTCATTCTTATACTGGATATGCTGTGGGCTAACATTAAATCGTGCTGTCTTGTGTGATTTGTTTATGTTTTCATGCTTCATCTCTTGCCATGTTCCAGGCTTTTTTTAATCCCTATGGATTTATGTAAACTTATTAATCACCGTGCGCCAAAACATGCACAACCCCATTCTTCCTTCCTAACTAGTGACTGTACTGTGAAGCAGGCAGAGATAGCACAATGAGTCGGGCTATTTTGCAGGAATGTTTCAATTTCTCCCCTTATTTTCTCTGCTTTCACTTTCAATGGAACGCTATCAAACTGTACCATGTGCAGTTTCTGCTTATCACTGCTATTAAAGAAGCAGACTGCTACAGTTAAAGTAGAACTGAATGACATTATCAAATTCTGCCATGTTACACACTTTTTTTGGGGGTCTCGCGCTGCATTGAATGTAGGAGAAAATTTGGAACGACATTGGAAGGTGTGGGAAAAATAAGTCCATATTGAATCTCAACTGGGTATTCGCACAGCCAGTTTGAATTGAGCATTTATTTCTTTAAAAAGACTTACTGGCAAAAACCAAATGAAATGTATCCGTGTGGGTAATGTGGTTTCAGTTTCCGATGTGCAGTGAGTGCATCGGGGTCTTTTACGAGCACTGACCAAGGCTACTTTTTTCTCAGAGCCAGTGCAGAAACGATCTACTCCAAGTCATAAACAGTGTTAAAACTAATGTTCCTCATGCAATCAGATATTATGCATCTTTACAGTAGTAGCCAGCGCTCCCTTTACGACCTTAAAGTGTCACGCTTTTTTTGCACATGTGAGTTTGCTGGTGGGCATTGCATCATTTGCACTGGTCTGCATTACAGGAGGAGGCTCGCTGAAGGTGAAGCTACTATCCCCTGCTTATAATCCTCACACACCCACACATTAGTTTTCCAGCCCTGCAGACCTGCTCACTGACTGCAGCGCTTTGCTTCAATAGTTCTCAGTGTAAACACTCCATGATCAGTTCACTGTGCTGTAACCCAACGCTGCTATTTGGAAGCCCCATGAGGTCATGTTTGACACGAGCAAAACAGAGACAAAGCACACAGAAGTATTTGCTTATTCTCCCTATAAAAAATATTTGCTCTTTTTCGACAGTTTCCCTGCTCGTTCAGACGCCATCTGTAGTGGCTCCATGCGGCGCAGAACCACTGTTCAACTTGTATTAAACCTCCATCAGGTCATTTTTGTGGTCATATTTACAGGGAGTGCAGAATTATTAGGCAAATGAATATTTTGTCCACATCATCCTCTTCATGCATGTTGTCTTACTCCAAGCTGTATAGGCTCGAAAGCCTACTACCAATTAAGCATATTAGGTGATGTGCATCTCTGTAATGAGAAGGGGTGTGGTCTAATGACATCAACACCCTATATCAGGTGTGCATAATTATTAGGCAACGTCCTTTCCTTTGGCAAAATGGGTCAAAAGAAGGACTTGACAGGCTCAGAAAAGTCAAAAATAGTGAGATATCTTGCAGAGGGATGCAGCAGTCTCAAAATTGCAAAGCTTCTGAAGCGTGATCATCGAACAATCAAGCGTTTCATTCAAAATAGTCAACAGGGTCGCAAGAAGCGTGTGGAAAAACCAAGGCGCAAAATAAGTGCCCATGAACTGAGAAAAGTCAAGCGTGCAGCTGCCAAGATGCCACTTGCCACCAGTTTGGCCATATTTCAGAGCTGCAACATCACTGGAGTGCCCAAAAGCACAAGGTGTGCAATACTCAGAGACATGGCCAAGGTAAGAAAGGCTGAAAGACGACCACCACTGAACAAGACACACAAACTGAAACGTCAAGACTGGGCCAAGAAATATCTCAAGACTGGTTTTTCTAAGGTTTTATGGACTGATGAAATGAGAGTGAGTCTTGATGGGCCAGATGGATGGGCCCGTGGCTGGATTGGTAAAGGGCAGAGAGCTCCTGTCCGACTCAGACGCCAGCAAGGTGGAGGTGGAGTACTGGTTTGGGCTGGTATCATCAAAGATGAGCTTGTGGGGCCTTTTCGGGTTGAGGATGGAGTCAAGCTCAACTCCCAGTCCTACTGCCAGTTTCTGGAAGACACCTTCTTCAAGCAGTGGTACAGGAAGAAGTCTGCATCCTTCAAGAAAAACATGATTTTCATGCAGGACAATGCTCCATCACACGCGTCCAAGTACTCCACAGCGTGGCTGGCAAGAAAGGGTATAAAAGAAGAAAAACTAATGACATGGCCTCCTTGTTCACCTGATCTGAACCCCATTGAGAACCTGTGGTCCATCATCAAATGTGAGATTTACAAGGAGGGAAAACAGTACACCTCTCTGAACAGTGTCTGGGAGGCTGTGGTTGCTGCTGCACGCAATGTTGATGGTGAACAGATCAAAACACTGACAGAATCCATGGATGGCAGGCTTTTGAGTGTCCTTGCAAAGAAAGGTGGCTATATTGGTCGCTGATTTGTTTTTGTTTTGTTTTTGAATGTCAGAAATGTATATTTGTGAATGTGGAGATATTATATTGGTTTCACTGGTAAAAATAAATCATTGAAATGGGTATATATTTGTTTTTTGTTAAGTTGCCTAATAATTATGCACAGTAATAGTCACCTGCACACACAGATATCCCCCTAAAATAGCTAAAACTAAAAACAAACTAAAAACTACTTCCAAAAACATTCAGCTTTGATATTAATGAGTTTTTTGGGTTCATTGAGAACATGGTTGTTGTTCAATAATAACATTATTCCTCAAAAATACAACTTGCCTAATAATTCTGCACTCCCTGTAGTCCCTTTAAGCTCCTTTTTTCTGATCTTCTTTCTAACTCTACTAGATGCCCCACCATGCTACCAGTGTGTCATCAGCTGTGTCTGTCTGCTGTTTGGAGCACGGTGGCTTTTTTATTTTCTTCAAACGGCTGAGACACGAACGTGTGCAGGCACTGCAAACACAATGCAAACTGAATCATATGAATTTACTATTCAACATTTTCCTCTTGAATATTACAGAGTTTAGCATCCATCCATATGACGGTGTAAAATGATGATTAAATATGGCACGAGGAGAAACCTCGTGACAAAGCACACGTACTTCTGGGAGCCATTTCTGCATCTTACTTCAATAAACATTTGTACCCTAAAACACTTCCATCTATGAAGACGTGCAGAAAGACCCACACAAAGCAGGATTCAGCTCTTGAACAGATCAGTCATCTTCTTTGGTGACTTCAATGTGAAAAAGGATACAAACACTTTTTACTCCTGCAGTCCCGAGAGTCGTCTCTGCCATCTGATGTTCTATTTGGGACTGAAGGATCCTTAAAGCGGCTCTGCTCTTAATTGATTTGGAGAGTGTCCAATGCCTCAGTGGCCAGGATTACATCTTAATGTTCTGTGTCTGCATTAAAGATTTAGGGAAGCCTCAAAAAGCCTTTGGGCAGAGCAAGAGTCCGAGACACACACGCATGCACACACACACACACACACACGCACGCACGCACACACACACACGCACGCACGCACGCACGCACGCACGCACGCACGCACGCACGCACACACACACACACACACACACACACGCGAAGTCAATTCTTCGAATTCCAGACCTTAAAGACAGATCACGATGCACCTAAGAAGTGAAAGCAGCCAATCATAATTCAAGCTGCTCCTTCATAATTATCATACCTGCTGCCAAAACAAAATAAGATTCCTTCAGGCACCGCCTCAAACCACAACACTCACACACCTGCATCTCCACCTGCTGTTGAGGAAGACACAGACTCATCTTCCTTTTATATCTGACTCGGAATATTTTCACACAGGTTCACAGGTGTTGCTGTTTTCGCTGACCCTCTTAAATACAATTAACACAGCGGATTAAAAACATGCTATCATTTCTTCTGTTTAAACTTTGTAGATGTTGCAAAAAATCTGCTGATGCAAACTGAAGACAACAGGGTGAGCACTGATGTAGAGCCTTTGTACACTGATGAATGTGAGCCTAATATTTTGTCACTAAAGCGGCCTGTCGGACCACACATAGTCACTTTATACAGCTTTAAACAACTGGAATCACAGAGGAGCCTGAGCAATGCCTTTTTGTTGGTGTTGATAACAAAGCATTAAGGTCTGAGATGGGATTGCAAAAAGAGCCAGTGAGCTTAAATGCTTCATGTGGAAGGATTATTCTAGAATTCTTTACACTGGCTGTGCACTCACCTGCAGCATAGCAGCAGCTAGGTAGACAGACATAAAGATGGGCGTCAGGGTTGTGTGCCCACTCTTCATGAAGTGGATGGCATAGAGGAAAATCAGGTGACCGGGGATGGCCGAAAGGAAGAGCATCTGTGCAGAACGATGATTGGCGCCTGAGAAAATACAAACAAGATGAAAACATTAGAGCTGAACGTGAGGGATCCAAAATACATTCTTCTATTCTTTATGAAAAACACACAGGCTGGTGACAAACTGTACCCGCTCACGCAGTCCACCAGCTGCTCCCACTGCTTCTTCCAAACACAGAGCTAATCTACGCCTGCAGGAGAGGGTCTCACAACGCACGAGCCAGGGGAATGGCTAAAAGCTCGTTTCAAAGTCTTCAGTTGAGCCTGATCATCATTCTGACACCATCATAAAACATGACATCCAAGCCTACTTTAAACACGTATACGTGCGTGAAAGCCAATTAAACAGTGTGTGTGTGTGTGTGTGTGTGTGTGTGTGTGTGTGTGTGTGTGTGTGTGTGTGTGTGTGTGTGTGTGTGTGTGTGTGTGTGTACTGACCTGTACCACAGAATGTGCGGCAGGGGTAGTAGCAGCCCTTGGCCTCATTGGGAACTTCCCCAGGAGCACAGTGGAAATGAAGGTGGGTGGAGATCCTGCTTGACTGAATAGCCACCAGGTTACCTCCAATACCTGCACGTTACAGAAAGCAGTTATCAACATAACTTCAACAACAGCATGAAGCTGAAACGAAACACTACTTTTCACTTTTCCTAAGTGAGAACACATCAATATTTAAGAGTTCAAAAACCTGCTAACATATCTCCCAAAGCGTGGGTAGAGCAGACCACCAGCTGCTCCAGTCTGCATGCCAAATATCCAAAGTTGTTCTGATGCAGCTATCAGAGTGTGAATGCTTGTATGAATGGGTGAATGAGGCATGTTTATAAAGTGCTTTCGGTGCTCCAGGGTAGAAAAGTCCTCTATAAGAATCAGTACCAAATATTATTTAGAGCCGCGCTCCCCAACCTTTGTTGCTCCACAGACGGTTTAATGTCAGACAATGTTTTCACGCTGCGGCCTTTAAGGTGTGGCGGATAAATACAACAAAATAAAACGATACGACCGAGACAAAAACTGGTATTTTGTAAATATAATAATAAAGATGAATTCACTGTGTAACTTTATTAGCAGCGTCCTCCTGAACTGCGCCAACAACGTGGAGAGTAACATCCTCCTCTCTGCTTCTTAATGCCCTCTGGTCGCTATGGTAACATGTAAATATTTCTTTCAAAATAAGACGCACAACTACAACACAGGAAAAGACGCGGGGAAACAGAGTTAACGATAAAAACCCTGAAAACCATAAATTCCGCTGCTTTAGAGTAAAACAACAGGCACTGCTGGAGTCATGATAATGCATGATGTACTTTATGAAATGATATGCACTGTGACACTGCAGGGAGTGCTGTTAAAAAACAGACAGGTGACCTCAGGTTGCAAAGTAGAGCACATGAGTAACTGACAACAAGGCGCTTCTTCTTCTTCTTCTTTTTTTCTAAATGCTTCTTGATTTTTAATTGTGCTTAAACATTGGAAACCTGTGGGCATAGCTTAGGGTAATTAAGACACATTAGCTCTGCAACATATTTCGCTAACACTTCAAGATTTTCAAAAATAAAACGTGATTGTGAACAGTGAGACCTGTTAGAATTAGATAAAAATGTCTGTAGCTGAGAGGAGACGCCTGTTCTGTTAAAGGTCGACTCTATTTGTTGCGTACGTACCACGAAAGGTCAAAATGAAAAATGTAGAACAAACTCGTAGAACTCTGCATGTAGGGTGTCTGTGATTCTGTGTGGACTGTTGTCCATTTACATCACGCAGGTAGAGAACAACGATTGCTGAGAACTTAGTTCTGCATGTTGAGATACAGCACCATCAACCCAAAGTTAGCAGAAACTGGTTTTGCTTCAATGTTATAGAGACTTACAACAAGGCCACAGCTAGCTTAGAGCGCTACAACAAATAACTACAAATCTAAGTACTTATACTGTAATTAGAGTCTGTCATTTTAAAGTAAAGCTTTCACCACCAGCAGGTTACCAGTGTTCACGTTTTCAGATCGGTTTGTTTCTAGCACAACCCCGGTTTCCTCAAGGCTCTGCCTGCTAGCATGTAGCACCTCTCCGGGGGGTTGTGAGGTTTCCTTTGGTTATCGCTGAACAGTTTTGTCTCATGTTCCTCTGGATCTATCTGCCAAAGTGAACAAAGAGTCCTGGTGTTTCTGCTCTTGCATCACAAAGCTCTCAATATGTTCACATTTTGCATGTTTTCCAAGACAGTGAAATGATTCCAATCTTCTTTATTTCAAAATGCTTTAGATTTGGATTTTTTCATCATGCATTTAATCATCTAGCAGATGATCAGTGATGGAAATATGAAACACCATCTGTACTGACAAACATGCTGATGTTATATTCACGTGCCTCAGCATCACCTTTCCTTCAGCAGGTGACACACAAACACATTTCTTGTGTTTTTGTTCCTGTAGCCACAGCGTGGTGACTAAACCACAGAGGAGAACTTACACAAAGAACCAGCTAGCAGACAGGTGTACACAGAGCAGGTCAGAAGAGAACAAAGTCCTACTGCTGTTATGTACATAAAGAAGTGTTCAGGGGAGGTGAGAACTGGCAGGAAGGAGGATGATTTATTCAGAAATAATTCACGTATTTGCTATTCAGAAGGTTCACAGGACTACATGTCATCGGATGGTCACTGTGATCATGTGCTGGAAACCAAATACAAAGGACAAGAAGCGACGCCGCGTGGTTAAGCCTCCCAAATTCGTTTTGTAGTGACTATATTAGATTAGACACCGCTGCCACCTCAGGGTGATGTCCACTTAACTCCATCTATTGAAGCTCTTTGTCTGCCTGGTGACGCTGGAGCATTAGCAGCCCTCCCACAGGGCCTGTAAACAGATATCACTTCACAACGAGCGTTCACGCTCTCTGCCATCTGTCCCCTCACATTCCTGTCCTCACCGTTTCCGTCGGCCACAATCCCATGCCATTCTTTAAAGGTACAATGTGGAGATGATGTGAACCTCGTGTCAGAGTGGAGAAATATAGACAGGAAGTAGGGGCAGCTGGCCTGGCTTTGTCTGCTGTGGGAAAAAGAGCTGGATCAAGTTTGAGTTTGGATTGCACTGAAAGTTAGATCTCATCAACATGTGGATATATTATGTGAAACACCCAAAACAACAGAGAGACAGAGCGAGTGACTGGGCTCTAATGTGTATGCAGTCGATGCAGTTATGTATGCGGCTCGTACTCGAGGGACTGTTCACATCTGTGAAGCTGTGTCCTGCTGTCATTCTGTCTGAAGCACCAGCAGCATTAGTGACTGCACTATTTGACTGCTATAAGGGAACTGTATAGAAAACGTTTGGAGGTGACGACAGGGCGCTGCACACTAGTCGGTTCCCACAACTACTCGGTCACCAAAAGCGATATAGCTAAAAAAATATTGTGATATTAGATTTCCCCCATATCACCCAGCACTAACTAGTACACTCATATGCATTTATCACAGCAAACCAAAACCATGTGAGAATGACAGAGTGATCACACATGTGAGTGAAGTTGCCCCCCCCACCTTCTTCAAATCTAACAAAAGTGGTATCAAACGTTTGTGCAGCTACCATTTTAAAAAGGAGGAAAGGGCTCATCACACACCTGTCGTGACCGATAACAAAGCCCGGTTTCCCACCTCCTCCACGCACAAATTGGCCACAATGGGTGAAACTGGGTAACCCGTGGAATTAAGACACACTTCCAAAAGCAAACAACTGATCAGTGCTGAGAGTGGTCCTGTTGCTGAGGTTGGGGTGATCCTGTAATCTCTTACAAACTACCTCCAACGCTTCCGTGACTGGGATGCCAGTGGAGACAGATGTAAGATCTCTCTTCACTGCACATGTCCTGTTTATAAGGTTGGAGAAAGCGGCTGTCAGCTGAGACTGAAGAAGTCACTGGATGAGTGACGAGAATCTTCTCCCACTGAAAATGTCCAGATGAACAGAATGGATGATTAAGCACGCATCAGGACATTATTTTATTAATATTTTTAAAATGAAAGCAGCACAAACAAACATTTTTGCAGCACAAACGTTTGATCCCACTTTTGTTAGATTTGAAGAAGGTGGGGGGCAACTCCACTCACATTGAACCCACTACCAGGATCCACCCGTCACTCTGGGTCAAGGCATTAACATTTGGCTAACACTACCTGTGTTCCCTCCTTCAGGTCAGCCTGTCAGCCTGACTGAATATTAGAAACACTCCCACAGCCAGAGACGCTGTCCTGCAGGGCTGGTTCTCCATCATCTCTGTGCTTCTTTGTCTTATGAAAGAAGCACTTGGAAAATGAAACGGATAACTACGTCAGACTTAATAAATTGGTTTGGTTGTAAAGAACCACAGCAGCAGGTCAGCGTACAGTCCAGGTGAGTACAACTGTGTCCAAACAATCATCTGCCTACGTCACCAACGTGCCTTTAGCTATTCAGAGGACGTGATAAATATTTTTCACCATTTTAAAAATTACTTTTATATTTATATGAATAATTTTAGGCTGGTTGTGTTCCAACACACGTTTTGTGGTGTGATAAAATATGTTTAACACAGAGTTTGACGGAGGGAAGGAAATGTGTAGGCTGACAATTTAAGCATCCAATTTGCCAAGAGTGTTTTTCCAACCTTCATACATTTGAAAGTTTCATTTTAGAACTGAATTTGGTATTTCAAAAATATGTTAAATGATCACATTTGGTTGATGTGATGGAGCACTGATTCTGACATCCTCAACGACACAGTTTGGGGTATGAGGGCATTCTTGCCACCTCAGCAGGGGGCAGAGTTAGCTGAAGGTGGTTAAGAGGGCAATCTGGCTTATTTAGGTCACTTGGTCTGACAGGAGCAATGAGGGCGATGAGGATGTCTGGGCCACGGCAAACCTTCGTGGAAGCTACAGGGGGTCTGTGCTGCTCTCAACTGGGCCACTCTGCCTGCAGGGAGGTGGTGGTGGTGGCAGCAAAGGTCTGCGAATCTTGGCTTCTCTTCTCAAGGTTTCATTTATATTGTTTATTCAAATGAGAAAGTGGCAGAATGAAACAAATACAGAACAAGCATAATGAAAGAAAAACACTGACAGATGAAGGAGAAGATGACTTATTGGTAGGAGTTAGATGTAAAAAAGGCAGACACCTTATCCTGAAGCAAACAACAGAAGGAAAGAAAAATAGGCAAATATGCCCAGATGACAAGCAAAGATTAAAGACTGGGCTGTCTCTCAGTGATGTCTGGTACAAAAATATGCAGCATAATGTATCTGCACGTTTCACAAAGTCACATAAAAGTCTCTAAGACACACACCTGAAAACGCATTTCAGATCAAAAGAAACAAAAGATGACAAAACCCTGCGATGTGCATCGCACAACGCGGACAAGAGGAAACCGTCAGACGCTCCCTGGATACTAAAGATGTCAGAACCCAGTTTGAAACCTGCAGTATCAGGATAGTTAAGCTTAAACTGAACGAAATAACCCTGAAGCATTAAAACGAAATAATGGAGGTCAGTGTGGGAAAAGAGGGCTTTCTCTCCCCCATGTTTCATTTAACCTGCCTTCTTACCAAGCCCTACACACCCCCTCCCCCACTCTTTGCTAATCAAACATCCACATGCTTTCCCCATCTCTGCTCCGTCTGCCCTTTCTTCAAATGTACTTTTATTAGGACAGGAGCGCTGGTGCATTTTTATCAGCCAAAAGACACGAGGCACTCGCTCTGCGACTCCTGAAATCGGAGATGGCTTCTTTTCCCAACGGTGCAAACAAAATCAAAAAGTCCCAGTGCTCACAAACGGACACGCAGTGGTTCCACAGCTGCTTTGTGCCGGGGGTACGTCTCAGTAGAAAACCAATTAGAGTCAGGTTCGTACTCCATCTCCTTAAACGTCTCTCATTAATGGCATTTAATTAAAAGCTTATCTGTTGTTGTGGCGGTGCCAGAGCCCTGGCAGCTGCGGTTGAGCCCGCTGGCAGTGGGAAATGTGATGAGGGAAAGGTAAGGGGAAATGGAAGAGGACCGGAGACAGACGGATTCCAACTGTCTGCCTAAACCAGTCTCATTAGGTAACTTATTTATGGTGATGAGCATCTGGAGGCTCTTTAGTAACCCCTGTTTATCCAGGGAGTGTGTACCGAGCACGTCCCTCCGCTGCTCGTACATTCACGTACGTTCACACCTGGGAACTGAGCAGCTAGAGGAAAAAGACAAATAGACTCTGCAGTGTGTTATCCATCTTGTGTAGAAACACTTTGTCTCCATCTCTGCTCCCAGGGTCAAAGACTGCATTAATTATAAAGCTGAGAGAGATAAATGAGACAAACAACAACAGAAGCAGTTTCTCTGTTCCCAAACTTCCACGTTAAGCAGCTCGTTTCCAGTCAAATCAAATGCGCTTTAATGCTGCTGCTCATTAAGATCTGAAAAAAGCGCTGTCAGAAAAACAGCAGAAAAAACAGAAAATCCAAAGCACACCAGCAGAGAGCTTTTCCATTATTTCTAGATGTGGCCTTTGTCTCCTCTGAGAGCCATTTGTCTGCCTTCACAGCAGCCCTTTGGCCACCAGGAACCTTTACTGCACCAACAAGGCAAGATCCATTTAATCTAAATCACTTCCACACCTTCTATCATAGCACAGGTGACCCTGTAGTGGTCTTTTCCAATTTCATTTTCAGTGCGACTAAATACGTGCAACACATCCCTCCTGACAAAATTATTGACAAAAGTGTTGTCTCACTACTTTACGTTAAATACTGCTAAATTACTCTGAGCGGCCAGAGCAAAGAAAACACCTGCATACACACACGTGTTTGAGTTGCAGCTGCAAAAACTGCTAAATCACCACATCAGCTGCTTCAAGGCACGTTATAGGTTAAAGAGCTGACAGTAACACAGAAAGGCCAAAGTCTAAACTGATGGTAGCAGCGACAGTTCTTCTCCTAATTCAAAGGACAGTCTTCAAACCCTGTGATGTGCTTCGTCAGGGCGCTTTGCTACATGTGGAGAAGAGCAGGTCATTACTGAACCTGGCTGCTGATTCAGCCCACTTATCAACACAGTCAGCAAGTGGAGCTCCAGCTAAAGGCTGTGACAGAGATGTGGCCACGAAACACTCTGGGTTGCATTAAATGATGTCCGTCATAAATAAGTTCAGTAAAGCAGCACAGAATCAAAAGCACAACCCAGAACTAAAGGTTTGCTCCAGTATGAAAGCAATGTGCTGAGGGAGGAGCTCGAGGTCTAAATTAAAAACAAGAACTGCTGTTAGCCAAGCCGTCATATTTATAACTCTGCCAAAAATGTAAACTAAGTTATAAGTTCCCAAATTATGGCTTTCAGGGAATGTGATCATTCGATAACATCCAAGCCTACATTATAGCACAGAGTGACAACATGCAACATTATTACCATGCTTCAATGACGCCGTGTTTTCTAACACAGTTGTTGGACCAAGAAACTGTTTGTGGTTGGTTAGCACAGTGTCTCAGGTTAAAAGCTTTATGAGGGTACATATTTAGCTGTAATGCACCTTTAAGCTACTATTTAATAGTGTGTCTGTGAACCATCACAGAGGTGATCTTAAAAGCCAACGGTAGAAGCTACACATACAAACGCAGAGGCATCTTAATGTGATAAGATGAAAAGAGGAACAGATCAAACAGACTCTGAGAGCAGCTTGGTGGGGCATGGACGCCCAGCTGGCTATTGCAGGAACGCCTGCATTTAAATGTATGGGCCGGACTCCTCAGGTCAGCCTGTCGATCGCTGCCTTTCTCTTTGGTCACGCAATTGTGTCTTTACTTTTGAGATGAATACAGTGCTTCGTTAATTCATTTCTGGAAGCAGGAGGAATCTGTTAAAACTGAATTTTCAGAACAGCAGCCATCTACACTTACCTGTGTTAGGATGTACTGCAGAGTCTGATGTCTCAGGCTCGAGGCCTTCAGCGTGACCACATCAAAAGAGGCATATTTTAATTCGTTTGGTCTGTTTAATTATGTGTTTTTATTTATTTATTTCACTTTTTATCTTAATAATGGTTCACACATCCAGCCACAACATGTGTAGCCCAGGGTGTGCCAGGAGCAGCAGCTACACTCAGACTGGATGTGACGCTTCCTCTCTCATCACAGAAAGAACAAAGTTGAGTTGGTAACTATCAAATCTATTGTTGAGGACATGAAGCCCATAACGATTATTCCTAAACTGTTCCTGTTCTGACTTCACAGGGTGTCTCGTACCGTGCACAGCTGCTATTACAGTAGCAGCTGTGCAGAAACAGCTCATAAACAAAGATGAAGGCACTTAAGTTGAGCGGAGCAGAAACACCAGATATGGACATTTCTGAAAAGGGTGGGTTCTGTTCAGCTCTAGCAGCATGTACACCTTACTAAGACACTATGGAGCAGATTAACTAATGTGCTGTGGTACAGCTAACTAGGAATAAATGTAATTAAAAACTATACTGCTGGTATTTACAAAGGACTGCGTGCAAGAGGTGGGAACTCGGAGATTTTTGTAACTGAACTTGTTGCAAACGTATTTCTGGGAGTTCGTTTCAGGTGCAGAATATTAGAGACCTGATTCACTAACATTTGACACATGAAATATTACTTCTATTTGTGCCAATATTAAAGAGGGAAAAAAAGCATGTCCCACCTCTGCGAGTGGTCGCAGCAGATGGCTCCGCCCCTCCCTGAGCCTGCTGGAAGTTTCTCGATGTTAAAATTACGTTTCTCCTTCCCACTGTCACCAAAGTGCTTGCTCATGGGGAGGATGGTGTTTGATGGGTGTTGAGTGTTTTTCTCTATAACTGTAGTCTTATAAAGACACTAGACTAATATTAACCCTGCTAACTGTACGTCTTTGACTGTGGGAGGAAGCTGGAGTACCCACGCAAAGTCCACAGCCAGGTGGTGGGACCGAGCTCAGTGCTAATCACTGCACCACTGTGCTGCCTCTACATGTAATACTCATGGCAACCATGTGACACACACACACACACACACACACACACACACACACACACACACACACACACACAGAGTGGGTACAAGAGCGATTTATTTATTTGCCCATGAGTAAGTTTGCTAATAATGATGGCGCTAACAGAAGCAGTCAACAGAATAATAGCGCTGTTTCAACAGCACCCTCTTTCATCTGCGAGCACATGCACCCTCCTCAGAGTGCGCCCAAACGCAGCGATTCATTTACTCAAACTCATAACAGAAAGAAAGAAAGGCAGTGCCTACGTTCAGACAAAAACATTCGGATGGTGGACGCGTACATGCTCATGCAAGTTAGTCGTTTTTGAGTCCTCTGCTCGCACTATACGTCTGCACAAGCGGCACACCGCTTTGGTTACATCCTTAGGTTTACCTCCTTCATCCCAAAGTGGCGACTTTATATTGTTTTGGTAATTCGTTTGTCCATGTTTGGACTTCTTCTGTGTTGTAAACGCACAAATTAGTCCGTGCATGATTACATTGCTCCGCCCATCAAAAAGTCTGCACATGCACGAATATATCGCCCATCGTCGATTATTGGACTTAAAATTCTCGGAAAATTTCACCATATCGCCCAACCCTACTGTAATGCTGTATCCTGAAAGAATTAGAGGATGGAAGATTCAAGGAGGAGTGGGATTTTTCATGTGTGTGTTTTATAAATAGGATTTAAGAAGCTGTTACTAAAACCTTTGGTCTGGTCTTTAGCCAGCCCCTCCGTGTCTGTTCATGCCCCCCGGGCACACGACTGCACATCAGCAACACCTCTATGCTGCACAGAACAAAAGAAGGAAGCGGCGTCAATACTCACCGTTGACAACGGGGGTGTACACTACAATGCCGGCCAGATTTGGGTCAGACACCGTTTTGTCCAGGATGAGCCCTCCGATGCTGCAGAGCACAACATAATTAGCTCATTAACTCAGAGTGCATGGAAAGGCATAGGCTCACCTTCACCTAAGTGATGTGTACAGTGGATTTGTGTGCTTCTCTAGAAGAGCTACTAAAATCCTTCATGGCTGTACTGGACAGAGAGAATGAAGGATTTTTCAATTGTTCACAGCCCAGCTCCCCCTCCTCTATTACAGCCTGTGTGGGTCTGTAATATCAGCAGCACTGATTGTTGAGAGGAGAGAGTGAGAGAGAGTGAGCGGGACAGTAATTTGCTTCCTACTGGCTCCTCTGTAAGGCCGCCAGGCTCAAGGAGACCTGAGGGTGTATGTGCTGGGATGCCGCAATTTGTTTAGGGGATGAGTCATCATGCAAACCAGACGCTGGGAGGTGCAGACTCGGGACAGCTGTTCTTTTTCCTTCAGAAGACTAAACACACACACACACACACACACCTGCTGATGACCATAGCAGTGATGACGGGCTCCCATCCTGAGTAGAGCAGGGTGCGGCTGGCGGGGTGCTTGGAGGAGATGACGATCCACAGCGGAGTCAGACACATGAAGAAGGCCCAAACCAACGACGACACATACGGATAGGAATCTGCAGAGGAGACACACTTGGGTTTTAGTTTCTGTCCGTTTCCTGCTCAGGTGAAACTGAGTAACACCTGAAACGTCTCAATGACCCGGGTAAGAAAATCCCAACATGTTGATTCTGTTCATCGGGACGTCCAGATTGCTGGAACAATGGTTCAGCACCACAAACAGGACTTTTTTCCAGCACTTTAAGGAATGAAGATTCTTTACTTGTGGCTGACTCTGCCCGTTGGCATCCAGTCCTAAATCCATCCAGTAAATACACACCGGATATTTTCTCTCACTTGCTCTAAGACTCTAACAGTAAACGTCTTTGTTTCAACTAAAATATAACAGTTATTTTGGAGAGGTAATTAGACTAAAGCACCTGCATGAAGCCACCACCAGATGTTTCCAACATTTCAAGCACTCAGTAACTGTCATTAGCAAGCAGTCCCACATTTACTATCTTGATGGTCTAAAGAAAAGAAAGGGCGTGGTGTCCAGCTCAGGATACAACGGGCTCTAGTAGGCCTTGGATTTTAAAATGTGAAACAGATAAACGGAGTCATATCTGGAGCGGAGCCTTGCCCCAGAGCAGCCTCTGGAAATGTGGCACCAAGTTAACATAGACTAAGTAAGCTGGCTAACAGGCAAAGTCCCAGTTAGACTCTTCTACCTTTAGACGTTGCACGTGTCAATAATTATCTTGCTTCGGTGAATAAACCTGCGAGCAAGCAATTGATATTCCTGCCCATCCCTGAAGGAATACATTTTGCTACGACACTCTGCCAGGAAGAGGGACGGAGCAGCTGCCAGCTATCTAAATGGCTCCATTCTTCTAATGCTTGGGAAAGAAATGGTGTTTCCAAAGAGTGATGATAACTACCACCGTGTTTTTAGATGCTAGTCGTGCACCCAGCATGAACTGGGCAAGCAGAAAATAATAATAATGAGAAGAAGAAGAAAGTGTTCTGCTTTCTTGCTGTCAAGAAAACCTGTTTAACAAGAAGGAGCCTGCAAAGAGACGTGGTGGCGAGGTTACCTGAGCAGGTGGGGACCAAACAAAAGAACTGCTTTCTTCTTCTGTTATTTCAACTATTTCAAGTCCGACTCACGTCTATCATAGATGAGGTGAAGTGGATGAGACTGCAGCATTTCACTGTACTGAAGTCAGTGTGAAAAATATATAGAAAGAGGACAACTGTCATTTAGAGTTGGTGCATAGAGTACAAAGTCCTGCACTATGGCAGCGTCTGTCTCACAACAGACAACTCAAAAAGAAGACTCAGACTGATGAATTCTTCATTCTTATCTAAAGGTGAACCTACAGCAGCTTTCACGTGAGCAGTCTCAGCTGACTGTGGGCCAAAGCCCAACCTTCCTTTGGACCCGTTAATGTAACGGTTTCACATATAAGGAGAAATCCTTTATCCCACTCATTAAAATCGTAGTTCTGCTTCCTCGTGTCATGGGTGTGCACCGTGTTGCATTGAATGCTTTTCTGCAGGTTTACATGCAGCCGGCATGTAAACACCCATCTGTTAATTTGTGCGATGTATCAACACAACCTGTGCATAAACTCTGGGCCCTTTTCTTGGTGTTAGTGCTTCATCTCACACTCACATTATCGCTGCTCTCATCCATTGTTGAGCCCTCTCAGTATAGCACTCTGTAACAATCCTGTTGGTTAACAGCACTATAAATAAACCCAAGAGGACTCCACATGATTCCTACAGCTGCAATGTCTCGCTTGCGTCTCTACTTGGCTGTTTCCCTCAATGCCTCTAAATGACTCTCGCTTTAGCTTTTCTTACGAGAACAGACAGACGAGCGATTTCAGTTTTCATCATCTGCGAGTAAACTGACCGTTAGTTTGAGTTTAGTGGGCAGGTGTCTGCTGGGCTCAAAAACAAGAGAGCCAGTGTGAGCGACACAGCCAGACAGCCTCACTGCCCTGCCATGGAAATCTGAAGTGTGCTTAAGAAATTTAGCTCCCAGCACTAAACTATTCCTTTTATAATGGAGAACATCTGTGCTCAGCAATTAGACCTGACGGGTTTAGTTAGCATGAGATGGTTTCCAAAGGAAAACGCTTCTAATGTGGCTGCACTGAGTAATACAAGGTGGTGCAGCACAGGTCTGCTGTCACATGAATTAAACATGTGGAGCGCATGTCAGGAGGAAGAGAGATGGTCTGTCCTGAAACTGGAGGCTGATGTTCTTACAGAGTGAGACAGGAAGGACCCCTGCTGGCCGACTGCGGGAGTGTATGACTCTACAGTACCACATGAAGCATATTTGAACTGGATATTATGACTGAATTTAAACATCCGCACTCAGACTGAAACACTCCGAGGTGCATTCATGCATGTGATGGCCCACTAATAAATGATCATATGCATGAGGGCTCTTAGGCAGTCACTGTGAGCCCTTTAATGCAGATCTCCATACAGTACATCTGCAAGTTTATTCAAAAGAAAGTACATTTGACATCCTCTCTTGTTCCATCAGTAAAGCAAGAGCCTAAGAAGATATTCAAAGGAGAATGTTGGTGTAAAAAGTTTGGCTGAAGGAAAGTGTGGCTGTGGGGGAGGCTGAGCCAGGACACGCTGGAGAGATTACATCTTTCAGTCGGGCTCATCTGGGCTCTACAACCCAGCCTTGGATACGCAGCGATGGAGCTCCATCACTGTGTGCGGCGAATGCACGGATGGATGTTCACACTGACTTTTACCAGATAAACTGGCACAAAGACAGACATTTTATCATGTAAGCATGTGTGCCGTCAGTGGACAGACAGATAAGACCAAAGACTACTTGGCTGCGATGTCTGATATAATCCCTCAGGTGCGTTTGTATTCACCTTATTGTGCGATCTACTGTACAATATAAAGCGCCTTGAGGCGACTGTTGTTGTGATTTGGCGCTAAGAAATAAAATTGAAGTTTGCACAGGTACAATTTTATACACTCTTAATAATTTGTGGTAAAACTAAAAGTGCACACCCTCTGTGCTCGCCAATAATCTTTATTTATGCACCGATGTTTTCATGATGGGCTCAGCAGCCTGAACAGAGCTCGGTGGAGGCGGAAGGTTCTTCAGAACAGGTGTCCTAATTCTACACAGTATGGATCAGTAATATATGGGTTCTATGAATATAATGAGCCGATTGGCTGACTGTGAAACAAAGTGGCTCCTTGTAATGCGGTCAGAACATATGCAAGTGTAGTAAAGGTAGGACCTACCCAGGCACTTGTACAAGCCTTGGCTTATCCAGGCCAGGATCGCCAAGGTTATGAGGTCACCAAAACTGGCTGCAATGGGCGTGGCTACGTTGTCTGGGTTAATCCCCGTCTTCTTCGAGCCCACAATTACCCCCACCATGATGATACCTGAATATGACATCAAGAGGATAAGCACATTACTCACAGCCATCACATTATAGGCAACTGAAAACGTGCGTGTTAAAAGGCCTGACGTGAAGCAGCAGCAGCATTACCAGCTTATACCGCGTCACAGTGTGTGTATTTACCCTGCAGCAGGGAGGCTATGAAGGCCGTGGCCACGCTGCTGGAGCAGAGCAAAACAGCGTGGCTCATCTGAAACTTCCCCTCTGGAATCCAACCAAGAACCACGGCTGCTACGGCCGCCAGGAAACCCACAACAGTGGCCTGAACCTGGGGCAGAGAGGCAGGAGATGATCCAGACTTGCTTATTAATGACACAAAGCGAGCTTTAGCAGCAACACGTGCACGTCCATTTTTCCCTAATAGTTCCTGGTGACACGTTACATGCAGGACGAACGGCTCAGCGTGTAGCTTTATCATTACATACGTCATGTTGTGGTGTGTTTATCGTACATAGGTAGATATTAACACAGCATGCACTCGGTCTTACGACACAGCCAAAGACTTTGGTCTAAATAAACACCCGCACGGTCCGTGCACCGTATCAACATATACACACTGGATATTAGCCATAGCACTGCATTAATATTATCAAAGATTTGTGATATTTCATTCAACATATAAAATACAATTTAATGTTTTTGTTATGACCAAAAAGGGAAAAACACCTGAGTAAAAAACTGCTCCCAGTAAAAAGGAAGAGAAACGAATAAAACTGCAGCTCATGCCAATGCAAAGGATGCAGGATTGATTCGTTTTTATATGAAAGTGTTCTCTCTACAATGAGACAGTCACTGTGAGCCATTACCTGCTTCAGTGCCAGGTTCCCTATGATTAGATTCCACTTCTCGATGGGAGAATCCATCTTGCCCACATTGACCTGAGTTGGGATGGGAAGAGTTATTTTACAGAGTAAAGCCTGTGTTGGAAATGCCACTTATTTTCCAGGATTGACACTAAATTGATTAAATGCTAGAAACTTAAAAGTGGTCCCATTTAATCCCAGTATTTCATATTGTGGGTTTCCCTGCAAAAACCAAAGAGTACTAAACTTCCCAGGTGTAACAAATAGACTTAAAAGCAAAGACTAACACAAACACTGGGTCTGGCCTTTTCAGTCGTCACACTCTCCATCTGAACCATCCGTGCTACACAAACACATTTACTGCTATGAATGTGAAGATGTGCTTTTTCCATCAGGCTGCTGAACACTTCACAGACACCTCACCTTCACTTACCACAACTTCAACATTGTGCACTCCACACTGTATATAAATGCCACTTGGTTTGCATACACACACACACACACACACGTAGATATACACTCAACAAAAATATAAACGCAACACCTTTGTTACTGCTCCCATTCCCCATGGGATGGACGTAGAGACCTAAAATTCATTCCAGATACACAATATAACCATCCCTCCCAAACAGTGGTCACAAATCAGTCCAAATGTGTGGTAGTGGGCACATCTGCTATATTGAGATAATCTATCCCACCTCACAGGTGTGCCACATCAGGATGCTGATCTGACATCATGAGTAGTGCACAGGTGTACCTCAGACTGCCCACAACAAACGGCCACCCTGGAATGTGCAGTTTTTTGCGCTATTGGGGGTCTGGGGACCCAGAACCGGTCAGTATCTGGTGTGACCACCATTCGCCTCATGCAGTGCAACACATCGTCGCATGGAGTCTATCAGATTGGCAATTGTGGCCTGTGGAATGTTGGTCCACTCCACTTCAATGGCTGTGCGAGGTTGTTGGATATTCGTGGGAACTGGTACACGCTGTCGTATACGCCGGTCAAGCACATCCCGAACATGCTCAATGGGTGACATGTCCGGTGAGTATGCTGGCCATGCAAGAACTGGGACATTCTCAGCTGCCATCTGCCCTGAACAATGTGAACCATGATTCATCCGTGAAGCGCACACCTCTCCAACGTGCCAGACGCCATCGAATGTGAGCATTTGCCCACACAAGTCTGTTACGGCGACGAGCTGGAGTCAGGTCAAGACCCCGATGAGGACGACGGGCATGCAGTTGAGCGTCCCTGAGACGGTTTCTGACAGTTTGTGCAGAAATTGTTTGGTTGTGCAAACCAATTGTTCCAGCAGCTGTCTGGGTGGCTGGTCTCAGACGATCTTGGAGGTGAACCTGCTGGATGTGGAGGTCCTGGGCTGGTGTGGTTACACGAGGTCTGCGGTTGTGAGGCCGGTTGGATGTGCTGCCATATTCTCTGAAACGCCTGTGGAGACGGCTTATGGTTGAGAAATGAACATTCAATGCACGGGCGACAGATCTGGTTGACATTCCTGCTGTCAGCATGCCAATTGCACGCTCCCTCATTGCTTGTGGCATCTGTGGCATTTTGCTGTGAGACAAAACTGCACATTCCAGGGTGGCCTTTTGTTGTGGGCAGTCTGAGGTACACCTGTGCACTACTCATGATGTCAGATCAGCATCCTGATGTGGCACACCTGTGAGGTGGGATAGATTATCTCAATATAGCAGATGTGCCCACTACCACACATTTGGACTGATTTGTGACCACTGTTTGGGAGGGATGGTTATATTGTGTATCTGGAATGAATTTTAGGTCTCTACGTCCATCCCATGGGGAATGGGAGCAGTAACAAAGGTGTTGCGTTTATATTTTTGTTCAGTGTACATATTCAGTAATGCACTCCTATATTGTCCATATATTATTCATATAACTCTCAGATTTAGCCATTCCTATATTCTGCTTGTTCTTGTGTTATTGTACTTTTGCACACCTCTGTTGCTTGAGGAGCTCGCACACTTGCATGTGCTGTACCCGTGTACCTGCACACGTGACGTGACGATAAAACCTGATGACATTTACCAGAGATGGAGCACTTTCATGGGTCTAACCTTTTTCTGTATTATGAGTGATTGATCACATGTATCACACACACACACACACACACACACACACACACACACACACACACACACACTTTTTAAAAATGAGAACATCGTTAGTCATTTTCAACAATGTGGTTTTGCCAATAACTGGAGTAAAACTGAACAAAGATATAATCCGACTCTGTATCCCACTAACAGCTCAGGAATTCTGTCCGCGGTGTCTCGCACATCTGTGAGGACATTCACAAACATTAATAAATTCCCAACCATGTCATAAAGGTGACACATAACACAATAGCTGCACAAAATGTTCACACTCTTGTAAATATATCACTCAGATGATGTAAAGCTCTGTGGAAGATAGCAGAACATTGTATCTGTATGTAATTATCTTGGTTAGCTGTGACTGCAGACTCACTGTTTGGATGAGTGGTTGTTGCTATGATCAGGCACATTTCCTGTGAGTGCATCTTTTCAGCCGTCCTCTTTCACAGCAGTAACTTCACACTGCCTGGACGTGACATGTTTAGGGGACTTCTGTAAATTGTGGCTCTAAGATGAGAAGCTGGGATTCACTCTGAGTGAGCTCTGCACTGCACAAAGAAAAGACCTTTTTCTGTGGCCTACAGTCATTTTGCTCATATGTGGGCACCTGTGCCTTACTGACCACCTGTCTGTCCCACTCTGATGCTTAGCTGAACTAACGTGAACAAATTCAATTAACTGTAATGACATTTCTGAAATCACGTGTGACTTCACACATGCAACAACTGTCATAAGTCCTCCTGCATTTCTCAGCACTGCAGGGCAGAGCAGCTGAGCAGAGCAACAGTAACATGAAGACAAACTGTTTTTGGGACACCGCTGAGGAAACTTGGCTCATGCTACGCTCCACTCTCTATGTTGACACAGCGCTGTGAATGTGGAGCTTGTGCGTGGGGAGCAGGAAGAGCCGAAAACCAACAAAGAGAGAATTCTGCTCAGTCACCTCTTCTACTTGGACAAACAGGACTGCAACGAGTAAGGTTATGGACAGAAGGAGAGCCTGTTTGATGGGACAGGGTGCAAACACATGCTCACCCTCTTTAGCAGAGCAACAATTCACCGTCTGACCATTTGATCCTGGCTGCAACAGCCTCTCCCAACTCCCCGTCAGCAAATTCCTCCTGACTCCAACTATTTCTCAAACACTTTAAGTAATTCTTACGTGGAAACGCCCAAAGTCATTGTAACAGCTGGGCACATAAGCCTGTGGTGTTCACCGCACAGCGTCGACAGCACTGGAGCTATAATTCCAGACTGGGCTGGATGATGAACACCTAATCACAGTTAGAGGCTCTGTGGAGGTGAGTCATGACCACAAAAACAAAAATGATGCAACTACGTACACAGTGACATCACTGCACTATCAGTGATCCTCGAACAGCAGCTACGAGCACGAGGCTGACGGGAAACCACTCCGTCCTTCTGAGAGTGAAACAACAAGCTCGCAGGACAAAGCAGCCTGACGTCTGATTACAACAACATCGAATGTGAAGACGGAATAACAGTGACACAGCTTCCACAACCACAAGTGCATTACAAGAAAGAATGACAGTTCTTCAGTTTAGGGTGTTGTTTACTATTACTACACATAAAGATGCTATTGTGTTGGGGTCTTAGAGTGGAATGGGCTACAGAGCGTGTGTGTGTGTGTGTGTGTGTGTGTGTGTGTGTGTGTCTCACCGCTGTGGACAGCCTCGAGGCCAAAGTCATCTCCAGGTTTCCCTTGAGGCCGAGCAGAGCGGGTACCAGGATGAAGATCTCTGTGATGTACTGGAACGCCTCCCAGTGCTGCAGACACCAGAAAGTCACTTTGCTTTTTCTGGCTATCACTGAACTTCACACTTACATGTTGTGTTTTCAGGATAAGGCAAACTGGGGATTTGCATCATTTAGCTGTGAAGCAGTGAAGTAAATCCAGCAGCATTCACAGACTTTTCTTTTAAAGCTTCGTAATTCTGTCAGATGTTGCCAACAGGGATAACACGACTGCTGTAACGTCAGCTGAGCAAAGCAAGAAACTCTTCTCCTCACACCTTACAGCAAAGCTTTCACGTTTGCATGAAGGACACATTTGGGACGCGAGCAGCACTCTTCCAGCTCGTTGGCTCACGTCTGACAGATGGTTTCACCCAAAAAATGTAAATGTGCAGAAACGGAAAGGGTTGCAGGCAGGACCACGCTCGAGTGGGCGCTGCGTTTCTACGTTAAAATCTTCAACACATTCACAGAGAAACACTGAAATTAAAACTACGGTTTAGAAATTCTAGAAGTAGAACAGAGGTCCCCGTCTCCAACCTGGGACTTCTATGTAAAACACCCTGCTCACAGACGTGCACCTTAAACATGTGATATGACAGAGTGCCGTTACAGAGCGGCCTGGTGAGATTACAGTCATATCAAGCTTGGTTGCCAGCATATAACCCAAGGAAGGTTTGGATAATGTGATCATTATTAGTCAGTGACTGATGTGTTTAGTTATTTTTCCACCTCAGCCAACACTGTCCTTTTACTGCAGCCTGGTGGGGTTGGGTGACTACTACTTTCAAATGTAGCTTTACAGCACAACACTTCCCAGCCTTGGTAACTTCGCTGCAGTTGTGCTACTATGTTCCACATTCACAGAGAGCAAAACTGAACAAAACCCATATTTGTAAGGAGCTTGAATGAGCCTTTAATCCCAGCCTGCTTTGACTGGTTTAATAATGCTGGTTGCTCAATTTACCTGCACAACATCCAGCACCATTCCAGCTGATACGGTTCCAAATCCAGCTAGAAGGAAAGGCACCAAAATCTGAAATGCCATAGCCAGCACTGACTCCTTTGGCATATTCTGCGTGTTCGATCCCAGCCCTTCCTCCTCCTCTTCCTCCTCCCCATCTGCCTCTTCACCTGAGAGCCTCCTCTCAGTGAGCATAGGCTCCGTCTCCGAGCAGTCTCCATCGCCACAGTCTGCTAAAGTCAAAGAGGCCCGAGAGGCCCGGTCCAGAACCCGTCTACCTTCTATATGAGACGTCTCCTGTCTGTACCCGTTCTGGAGTGAGTTGGCCTCAGATTTAGCTCCAAGGTCCACCATGGCCAACCGCTCCTCCTGAAGTTTGGTGTAACCGGTGGGGACCATGGTGTGGAAAATGGAGGCGATCCACCCCGGGGAAACAGGTTTCAGGGAGAGGCTGTTCCACCCGCCACCTGCTCCACTCATGCGCACTGTGAGACTAGAGCCAAGAGACTCCCCTATAGCTCCTTGTAGGCTTTGAATGCTCATGATGTGGTCCAGGGCTCCAGTGTCTCATCTCCTGTCATCCGGTCTGAGGGCGGTGTCCAGGCAGCGAGCGGTCGAAGCGAGCTTCAGGGATTCATCAGCTTAAAGAAAACACACACGAAATGAAATGAGAAGAGGAATATCTGCCAGCTGCTGATATGTATAAGACAAAACAACAGTAAGTGATAAAGAGGAACAAACGGTTCTTAAAGTGGAAATGCAGAGAAACAAGAGGTGACGTTAGAGCGTACGTGTCATTACTGCAGGGAAGGATTGTGCTGAAGCTGCTGTAACATACAACACTTTATTTTTAATACATCATCAAGCAACGACGGGAAGAAATCCCAAGACTGGATCACCATCACAGATATATCAGTGCCAGCATCACTGCTCACCTCAACAACGCTTTCTGTTAAAGGACTGCTACCAGTTAGAAAATTAAAGAAATGAACAGGAACAGCTGAGAAGCATCCCAAAGAGCACCGGAAATACAATTCAGCCTGTTCCTGTCATTCACGTCTCGTTTGAAACGATGATGACGATGAATATAGAGAGTAGAAGTTAGCTGCTAGTGTCGCTGCTGTGGGCTGACAAACTAAACCCGAGCTAGCATCCAAGTGACGAAACCTTTCTCCCACAAAACGCTGCGTCCAGATGAACAGAACCAACTTTTGGAGATTTGCTTCCCTGAATGATTGAGCATCAAGTCTTTAAATCCGAGGTCCACCGAGCTGCTTCTTTAAATGTACCAACCGAGGATGTTCACAAAGTTCTTCCATAATTTGCTGCTGTTCCGCTGTCTCCAGTTTATCTGCGTTTCGTTGGTAAAATGTTCTCGAGACGACAGTTTTCATACTTTTTTAATTGCCACTGTTCAGGCCCATTTATTACCACCATCCTATTCAGCGCCGTCTCACACCACAGCTGCCATTCATGGATCATTTAGCCAAACAGGAACTTGACACAAACAGGCTGGTTGTGTATATGTTTATGGTCGCCACATAACACGGAAATGCTGCTAGCTAGCTGTGGAGGAATCAAAACAGTAGAAGGCACGTCGGCTGCCTACTTACCCAGCGTTAAACGTAAACCGGGAGAATACGGTGGCCACAGTTAGCCAGTATTACAAGTAGATAGGATATATATAACTCTTCAGTGCTAAGGATTATTATTACCGTTGTTTTTATCCTTGACATACGTTTTCACTGTGAAGAAATTCCACCCAGAGGAGATGCCAGTCCTTTCCTCTGACAGCTAGCCAGCCAGAGAGCCGCGTCAGAGCGAAACTGGCCAACCAAGATCGTCTACGCGACACGACGAGCGACTCCGTTTGAAAACAACGCCTGCTTACCAGAAGTTATAAATCCGGGTTGACCTGATTACAGATCCAAAGACATAGTATGTCCGACAAATGGGATGGTTTTCCTCACATCTATATTAAGTAATGCACTTTTAATCTTCGACTGCATTATGACTGCATTAACATTACTGCTATAGAATAAAACATCAGCTGGCTTCAGCGGATTAGAACAAAACTTTCAGATATAATTTTTATTGTATTACCCACATTACATAGTGGTAGTTTTGGTAGTATTAATTGCAGGTAAGCCGAGTCTATCAGCTGGGGAGTTTAAACCTGACAGTCTCGGTCCACATCTGGAGGATGTGCGTAATCTTTACACCTAACAGTGTGTAGGTGGGTTTTTGTTTTGTTTTGTTTTTTATTAGTAAAATTAACATACAAACAAAATGCACCATATATTACACGTTCAGAGAATAAACATTCCTTACATATTAGCAACTTTCATACATAGGAAAAGAAAATATAAAGATGGGGTCACATAACTTAACAGATTATTAACTCACTAAATCAAAGTCTTCCAAAAAGGAAACAAAAAAGCAGCCTTTTTCTTTTTAACTAAAGTCAGAGATTTAACAAACAGGTTTAAGTCGTTTTTCCAGTAAGCTAGTGTTGGTTTGGTCTTAAAAAAACGACATTTATGTAGAAATTGCTTGCACAAGATTAATAACACATTAACACCATAATTAGCTTTCTTTTCTTTCAAAAACACTCCAAACATTATCATATTTCAGGTAAATGGGGTAATTTGAATCCCACTGGAATAAAGCCAGGTATGAAAAGCCAGCCAAAATATTTGTATAAAACCTGACAGTGTAGTAAGGAGCTTGGAATGTGTGCGTAAACGCTAGAGTTCATCCCAAACACCAGGGGCGCTGTATAATTCCTAAAACAAGCTTTGTCCCTACCTTTCACACGGATGTGGATTTCGACCAAAAAAACCCACATGTGGAGGAAAACATTATCGTGTCCTCTCTAAATCTAACATGGAATTAAACGTAAAGACAACGAGCTCGCAGGCGTTGCTGTCGTGTGGTAACGGAGCAGGTTTGGATGCTTTTTATTTCTTTCTGTTTTGTCAAAATGTCAGGAGAGTTGGACTGGGAAGAAGTACAGAGCCTAAACTGCACATTCGTACAGGAAAGCCAGCTTCTGTGTCAGTATTTTGTTGTAAAATACTAACTGTCTGTCAGACTATTTGAATATATGTAAGCAGCTACATGGAGTAATGAAAACTACACGTTTAGTTAAATCATTGCCAGCGTCATATAAACAAAGTTATTACCTAAAGACTTCAGAGCGCTGAGGCCCGATTTCCTCGGTAAGTTTAGTGCCACAGTTCAGTGCTGTGACTCTGCAGGTCATGTTGAGTCCTTAATTGAAACGTAGTCGACCTTTATAACAAATAAACCCATCTTAGACTAATGGAAGTTAAAACAAAGTCCACGGATCACGTGTTTACAGCGTGGGGAAAAACATTTTTACTTATAAATAAACGGACAGTCTCTAATTGTGATGGTAGTTTTTGAATGTAGAGAAACATGTCAGCCACAAACGCAGACAAAGACTCCACACTGGGTAAAAGTAAATCAGGTTATAATGTTTCTGCGATGTTTTGTTGGAGGTTTCTGTTGATGTCTGTCAGTTAGAGTAAAAGTGCCGTTAGAGACATTAGAGAAACCAATCTTCACACACCATGTCAAAGTCTGCATTTTCCTTTCTGTTGTTTTTATTTATTTTTGTCTATATTGGACTCACATTATAAATTAGAGTGTGGTATGTCATCCAACTCTCCCTGGGAGGACTGGGAAAGCACTGGGTGGAGAAGGCCATTTGGAGTATCCTCCTGCTGCTGCTGTGACCCAACTTTGTGGTCCATCCAGATAGACTGATTGATGCCTGATTATTTCTCAGTTTGGCAACTTTCTCTGCAGCTTTCCAGATTTAGATTAATCATTGTGCTGACTAGAGTAAACCCAAATCTTAGCTACACAGAATGGTCATTTCACTAACTTTCTTAGGGACCTCTATCAGGGACGTGTTGCCACAACTGCTGTATTTAAAAGATTGAAAGGATTTCTACACATTAACCCACTCATGAGAAATGTGTCTTTCTTTTCCCGCAGTATAGGAGCATAAGTTTGGTCATGAGGAGTAACTGATCTGTGTGTTGTGCTGCTAGGTCTCAGTGAGAAGCTTCTCCTCAATCCAAAAGCTGGAAGATCACTGCAGACAGAGAGAGTCCCCAGAAGCAGCGGTGAGAATGTCAAGCATTCTTTTTAGTGACAAGTTGGTCGATGGTTGATCTACCAAAAAGCATAAGAGTGATGTTTAGTGATGTGTGTGTGTGCGGGTCTTTCCCTGTGAATCAGTTCTGGACCGGCTGCAGAGCTTCCTCCCTCAGATGGCGGAGGCCAACGAGAAGCTGAAAAGACAGATGGAGGAGGCTCCTGCTGGACGCTTTGACATAGAGAGTGTGGACGAGGCAGAGAGGGTCATAGAGATGGTGAGTATCGGCCTGCCGCTGAACCAGCTGCACTGCCACCATCTGGTGACGTACTGAACTGTGACATGGAACATAAAGGACTCTGCAGTAGAGAAGTGTTGGAGGTTAGGGCAGCTGGTCTCTGGGTAAATCTGGCAGCTCCTTTCATACAAGGGCTGCGTTATTCCAAAGAGGTCTGCTGTGTGTGACTGCTAGGACTGCAGCAATGCATCGAGTAACTCAAATAACTCGGTTACATGCATGCATATTTTTTCTTACCTTTGTTTAAACTGGAACTCTGTAGAGCTCAGTCGTCACCATGTCAACACAATTAGACATGCAGCATGTGGGGGAAGTGTTACAGTACTGAGCCTTGTTTTTCCAACAGCAGCACACGACTAGGGGTGGGCGATATAAATGATATAAATTTGGCCAACGATAGAGATTTTGACTATACCGCTCTATCGTGATAGCGCATGTTGATGATGTCATCAAGCTGCGCCTGTTTTGGTCGAAAGCATCGCAGCGGCTAAAACCATTATCATCTGCAAATTATGGCGGGCGACAGTCACAGCAAAGAGATGAAGCACTTTTCAAATATGGGGAAAGCCGAAAACTGCATTTCCTCCACTTCCATAACGTTGATTCATTAATGTTGAATTCTCTCGCAGCTGCTCTGTTCCCATGTTGTTGCAGTATATTAATAACTAACCTCGTATTGTGGATGAATGATCTCAGTTGTTCTCCTGACTGACGTTTGGCCCGTGTACAGCATCCTGCTATGCGACTGCATTTGTCCCTGACCACCAGAATCCCTCACGTTAACTTTTATCGAGTGGAAAAAAAGTTGGTGTTCATCCTCCAGCTTCACTGTGCTAATGTTATGCTAACATAGCTGTGTCGCTAGCAATCACGTAGCACATCATTATATACCAGGTAGTCCAACTTCAGTAACCCTGCAAACGTCACTGCTGTTTAGTTTTCTGTCTTCATTTATGTTGGAAGTGGTAGCAGAGCTGTACGTTTGAATTAGTTTCAAAAATCTCTGTCAGAACATGGTATGAAATGTTTAGGCGGAAACTAGCGAGCTAACTTCCTGCTAACTTCTAACTCCGTTAAATGTAATAAATTCTGTTTTCATGGATGCCTGGATGTAAAACTTAATTGTTACACCCGATAAAGCAGCAACGCTGATGATTTTATTAAAGATGAAAGAATTTGGACCGTTTTTAACTCTTAGTATTCGTTTGACTTTGGGACCTGAAGATGACGGAGTTTTGGACCCAGATTACTCCGAAGCTCCTCACTACGGCAGCCGTAATGCTCTGACAATCCATCAAGCTGTGCGGCTTACCAAAGTTGTACTAAAACATTTTTAACAGATTTCTGCCCAAATCGGTTCGAGGTCAGTAAGCACAACCAGAATTCATACATAAGGAACACTCTCGATTTTTGAGAAAATTAAAGGATTTTAAGTCCTTATAGTGTGGAAAATAGGTTATACAGAAGAAAAGAATATATCGCGATATATATCGTTACCGCACATGCTTCAAATTATATCATGATAGAATTTTAGGCCCTATCGCCCAGCCCTACACACGACTTTAATCTTTGAACCATCATACTTTTATTCAACATTACAACTTAAGTGCAGTTCAGTTAGCATTAATTTACTGTTTTTGTCCTGTTCTTAATTCTTTCCTGCGTTTCCAAAACAAAAGTGAAAAACTGAAATCGACTCTATTAAGAGCTCCGTTTAAAGAATTCGGAGCACACGAGGAGAGTCGGTCTCTTATTTTGACAACAAAAAAGGCCCAAACTGTCTGTACTATTTATTACTTTCTATTAACGTCCATAAAGACAAGCATGATGGTGGCATCATCATTCTGTGTGTGCTCTTCTCAACACCCGGGCAGAGATCGTTTCAGAACAGCTAACTGTCCCCAACAGCGCTGCAAAGATGTGAACGTGGCACACAAGCTGCCAAAATCCAGGTAGCCATGAGTTGTAACTGCTGCTGCAGACGCTTCCACGCAGCACTGAGTTAAGGCTCTGAACACTTTTGCAAATGACAAATTTTATTTGTTCTTCTGGTGGTGGATAAGTCTCAATCTACTGCTCATTTAATCAGTTTCTCTCCATTTAGCTGCTTTAAGTGCGTCTTTCACCAGTCGTGTAATTTTGTCCCCGTGTCCTCAGGATGTAGCACTCGTGGAGCTCAATGAGTCAGGTGACAGCGAGACGTCGGACTCTGAGGAGTCGGACTGCAGCGACGATGACGGCGAGGTCACAGAGCAGAACTTTAAACTGCCCGGAGACAAAGGCAAGAAAAAGAAAGTCAACATCCTGGTTCTGGACCAGCAGGGGAGTAGACGAGTCAGACAGAGGGACCTTTAGTTTCTTTTCCATGGAAACGTTTTGCCAACGAGATCCTCAGATGTCATGTCAGAGTTTCTTGTTTCTTTCAAACCTTCTTCACACACAGACAGCGGACAGAACAGCTGCTGCCTGTGGGAGTACAGTGAACACTGAAATGTGCACACAAACTGCCCATAGAGCCAGAACAAATGCTGGGAGTCTGCCCTGTGACCACGATGTCTGCATGCTGTGTTGTCTCCTCGTCCTCTGCTTCATGAACGTGAACACATCCTTGCATCAGTTTGGGCTTCAAACCGTTCACTTCAGCTCTCTGCTGAAGCAGGAAGTGAATTGTGAGTACAGATGGTAATGAAACAAAGCCTGCTCCACAACCAGCATTGAGTGAGTGACCCACCCCACATGGATGAATGATCCTGGATCCCATTGCAGATGCTGGCACTTGAACTGTGCTCTCCGTGGATGCAGCATCCATCATTGGACCGTTTTACACCACATGAGGCGCCTGTTTCTTCTTTGTGTTTGTGGATACAGCAGGCTCACTGACAGCACTCGCCTGAGCAATATACTGTACCCTCATCATGTACCCAGTGTGACAAACAATGCTTAAAGTGCACAGCATAAAGCGCTCTCAGCTTTTAGAATCCGAGCCTCTGTGTATATTTGTTGTTTTCACTTCTGTTAAGAATTATATTTAAATTTTCCACAGATTCTCCTTTTTTGAAACAAGGCTGTGAATGTGATTTTGAACCAACTGAATAAAGTTTAATGATGACATTGAATGGTAATTTTTGTAAAAGCTGAAAACACAAAATGCCTAAAAAGTGCCCCCGAATGCATGTTTCACCCTGTGAGTGTCGCAGTCACAATGTTTGTATTCAACAGTTTTTAATGACTGATCATCAGATCGTGGTCCATCCTATAAAACACTGAAACGAGTGTTGCTGCGCAGCGCCTTTAATCAACGTCAGCATTACAAAGTCAAATGGACACCAAGCTTTCTGGAGCCTTACTGTTTATTGACACGATCGCTCTCATAAAGACTGAGAAACATTTGCATCGTAGCCCGCGCTGCCTTCACTGACAATGTGGCATAATTAGAAAATTAAGTTTACGACTTTGTCACATGATCGATGTATAAAACATCTGGCTGGTGTACTTTAATGAATAGAGAACACTACATAGTCCTGCTGCAGTTCACAAATACAAGGTCAAAATGTATCAAAGAGTCTTTTTAACCTGTTTAAAAAAGTATTTACACAGAAAGTGACGTTTGGACACCGAGTGGATGTGTCAGGATGTCTGAACGGGCGTGATGTAAACAGCTAAACTAACACTGACGTTAAATACTGGCTTAGCTCAGTTCTAATGCAGCACCCAGCTCGAGGCGGTTCATCACAGCTTAGAAATATCTCACATTGATTCTTTGACATTTTAAATTCAGCTGCTAAGCAACCATTTCAGGAAATCAGGATTGTTTGATGTGACGCAGCGAACCAAAGAAAATGACCCGAAACACGAGGAAAAGCTGAAAGGAACTTAAAACGTGACTTAACTGCTCTGGATTACACACTCCAGTCTCTGAGCTCTTATGTAGTTTGTTCTAACTAAAATCTGAAAGCTTAAAATCAGTTTATACATTGTTTTCATCGTTAACATTCATCAAAGATCTCTGGGTCTGATCAGAAACACAGAAAGGTTTACATTTACAGCCAAAGAGATCGACGTCTGTCCAAACAGCGATGTCCTGACCGCTGGCCTCAGTTTATCCTGCTTCTCACACGGTTTACGTGTCTTCTGTTTCCTAGCCTTGTTCCAGAACTGTGTGCTGAGCACCGCTGATCAGGAAGCTTCCTGAAAATTTGTAAAGCTATTTTAATGCTGCTTTCTAGACTCAAACATCCCCATTTTTCGGACCAGTGTGGATGTTTAATATTGCTATTTTGTTTGCAGCCTACACAAAGCTGCAGTATTCGTGGGTGAGTAAACGTGAGCCGAAAGGCATCCAGCACACACGGCACCCTGATGGCAGTACACAGATCAGGTGATCCAAGAATGAAAAACCAGAGAAAGGTAAAAAACATTTTAAAAAGGTCTTAAAGGGATGAAGAAGGCAGCATGACGTTTGGACGAATCAGTGAAGATAACTGATAGTGTTTAGATTTTTTGCTGTGCTAATTATTTTTACATCTTTAAAAGTACAGCCAGGAGCAGCTCGGCTCCTCAGGGACCAGCTGTGGAAACATGGCTGCAAAACAAAGAAGGCATGTTGTCCACCTCAAGGTCAACCAAGCTTTCCCCCATCACTCATACAGTACACATGCTCTGAACCATTTGCACACACACACACACACACTGAGTTCCTGTTCTTGTTCAGAGTTCATTGGGAGATTGTGAGCCTCAGTATTCCACTGTCACTGCTTTGGTCTTGAGATATTCCATGAGAGCATCCTCACCTGTGGACACAAACGACAACTTGTTAAAAGCTTGTGGGACAAAAGGTTTCCTACTTTAAAGAAAGGAGTTATAATAACGTCATATATTTACTTTGAATAACAGAAGCTTATCAGTAAGCGTGACCACCACGCCAGCTAGCATCAATTCAAAAGTCAGAATTGAAACAGCCCTACTCATGTAAATTTTGTATAACCTGTAAATTGTAAATACTGTAAACCACTGTCATTTAATGGTCAGGCATTGCATCGCACAGCTACAAGCATTTCACCTCATGTCATACTGTGTATGGTTGTGTGTGTGACAAATAAAATTTGAATATAATATTAAATAAATGTAATAAATTCCAGTTGTCTTCTCACCGAGGTCTTTGCCAAAGCCTGACTGCTTGAAACCCCAAAAGTGTGGCAACATCAGTCTTGTTGTAGGTGTTCACAAACACGGTTCCAGCCTCCAGCCGCTCGCTCACATACATGGCCTTGTTAATGTCGCGCGTGAACACGCCTGAAGCCAGACCGTACTCCGTGTCATTGGCTCTCTGCAGCACGCCGTCCACATCTCTGGAGGTTGGAGGAAAAGAGCAGAGCGAGATATGAAACACCGAGCCACGACTCTACGGTGTGATACTCGTTACCCTCGCTTACCCGTCCTTAAATTTGGACACCACCATGACGGGACCAAAGGACTCTTCTTGGCGAGGAACATGTGGTCCTCCACATCAGTGAACACGGTGGCTCCATGAAGAAACCTGAAGGAAGACGGGCGCCCATAATCACGCTCTGATGAACTGCTTACAGCACTTTACTGTTTTATTTGACCTTTCTTGTTTATATGTCATTTTAAAAAATGGAATTCGTGCTCCATGACTGAGCCCTGTCAGGTGCTTTTATTGTGACAGGCTCATAATGGATGTTGGAAAAATAGATTTTGGTATCAATGACCATGGTGAAAACTATAAATCTATACTGTGGTTTCAAGATTTCAAATAATAGTTTGTTTGAATATTCCATGATAAGGCCTGAATGTACTGATTCCACAGTCAGTGCTGGTGCAACCTAACTTGCTCATATATTAGAATCCGATTTGTGCTTTTTCTGCACCAACTTCATGCTCCCAGTTATTTGGCTGGTTTTTGAAAGAGAAACAATCTTTAGATGAGACATTAAATTGGTAATGAAAATCATCTTTCTGTTCTTACATGCAGTATTCAAGGACTAAAACAACAGAGGACGAGTGTAGCAGCCATTTAGCCTCCAGAGAGGGGCGTGTTCTACCTGGCCTGTCGACCCGTGTGCCTCCGTACACCAGTGTGGCTCCCTCCTTCACCCCGATCTCACAGTACTCCAGCAGCTTGTCCAAGTGGGCTTTGTGGTTCTGTGGGCCGTGGTCTGTGGAGCGATCCAGGGGGTCTCCGATCTTCATCTTCTTGATCTCCTCCACCTTTTAAGGAGAGGGTGTAAAGACAGGATTATGATTTTTCTGACAGCTAATAATGCCGGTTTGGCTTCTTCTGCTTCTTCTAAAGTCACATGATGGCTGTTTCGGCACTCACCACTCGGTCAATGAACTCGTCGTGTATGGACTCCTCCACAAAGAGACGGCCGGCAGCGATGCAGTTCTCGCCCTTGTTGAAAAACACCGAGCTCATGCCCTGTGAGGCAGCACGCACAAACACACAAGCATCAGTGTGCCATTTCAGTCACACTCTGTGGCGTTTCAGGATCTCACCAACACCAGAACCTTGAAAGGAACCGAACTGTCTCGTGATTATTCATAATTAATATTTATATGCACAACTAACTGGTCTACAAAATATCACAAATTGGTTCCCTGAGCGTTGTTCCCTCACCATGCGAACAGCCTTATCCATGTCGCAGTCACTGAAGATGAGGAGGGGGGACTTCCCCCCGAGCTCCAGAGAAACTTTCTTCAGATTACTGACTGCACAGCTGTGAGAGAGAGAGAGTAAAGTACTGTGCAGCTGTGGTGTGCGACCTGTAAGAGTCAGCCGGGTTTTACCTCTTCATGATCTGTTTGCCGATAGGCGTAGAGCCGGTGAAGCCCAGCTTGCGGATGTCTGGGTGCTCGGACAGACGCTGTCCAACCACGCCACCTGGAGGAGATCGAGAAGGTCACGTGACAGAGCCCAGGGGGATGACACAATCTTCCACATGTGCTGCAGTCAACTGGACACTTCTACACGTGCTGTGAGTAGTTCTGCCTACAGCTATTTCTAATGTTGTAGTCACAAAAATCCACACAGGCTGAAGGACAAACAAATGCTCCTTTTTCCCTGCTGTGATCGTACAGTTTTAGCTCTCCAGCCAAATAAAACGATGCAAATGAAGCACAGAGAGAAGGACTGAAGTGCTCACAGCGCTGATCTTTGAGAACTTTCCCTAAAGAAGGAATAACCAAAAAGAGCCTGTTTAAACTGTACAGATACTGTTCATTACCAGAGCCTGGTAAAATATTGATGACTCCTTTTGGGATGCCTGCCTTCACTGAAAGCTCAGCAAACTTTAGTGCCGTCAGTGGAGTGACCTGTAAATATCAAAAATAATCATTACAACACATAAAATGCCCAGGAAGAACTGAAACAGTACACAGCACGAGGAACAATGAACCCACCTGTGCAGGTTTGAGAACCAGCGTGTTTCCAGCTGCCAGGCAAGCTGCACTCTTCCACGCCAGCATCATGAGAGGGTAGTTCCACGGGATGACTATGGCACACACACTGTGACAGGAAATAAGCTCTTCAGTCAGTGAAATCCACAGAAATGCGTATACTGTCTAAATAGCTGAGGATAATTAGGTTCAGGTTAGTGAATGCGGAGCTTTTACCCCAGAGGCTCTTTCTTAGTGAAGGTCAGGTTGCGGTTGGGCCGGGCTTGGTTGATGGGAATCGTCTTACCCTGCAGAAAACAGACAGAGTGTGCTGAAGTGAAGAGCTTAGGTTGTGTGCCACTAACACACAAACCCTGAGAAACCTTCACCTACCTGGATCTTGTCACACCAGCCAGCAAAGTAACGGAAGGTTTGGATGGACATGCCGACATGTGTCTTGAGGGCCAACGTGTACACGGCTCCTGAGTCGATGGACTCGATGGTGGCCAGCTCCTCCTGATGTTCCTCCATCAGGTCAGCAAGCCTGAAGGGAGGAGCTCGATGTTAACTCTCTATATCTATTCTATATCCGTGGAGAACCAATTCCAACAGTCTTAGAGAAGCCCATAAAGAGCCTGG